CAATAGAAGCATACTCGATAATTTTTAGTTCACGCCTATATAGTGAAGTAGGACACTTATATAAATCAAGGTCTTAAATCAAGGTCTTATCTGAAGTACTTACGGTATATACCGTACCATACCTTTCAAAATCAATGCCTAACATTCATTCAAGTACAAGAAAATTTATTTTTTTTTCTAATTTCACTTTTACACTTATAACAGTAATAAGGCTTGAAGCTTGAAATTCGTATCAAAAAGATTATTTTGGAAAAAAATTTTGCTTGTCATGTTTGTTGAAAAATTTTTATTGTATAAGATTAATACAAAAACTGAAATGGTAAAATTTTTTTTCCCAAATATCTTTATTAATGAGATTAATGAATAGGAAAAAATATTAAAAGAAATGATGTTTTCATTCATAATTTGTTTTGATTTCTTGTATGTTTTTTGAATTAATGTAGTAAAAAAAATATTATAAATTTGTCGGTTCGTTTAAAAAGAATGTACAAAAAAATTGTATGTCATCGATATACAAAATATTTGATGACATACGAAAATAATTGGAAAATTACCGGAATCTTCACAAATTTTTAATGTTATCAAACAATAACCAAACAAAATATACAGAATGAGGCGCAAGGACCCCATCGAACCACAGCAGCCATTCTAAAACTCTATTCAAAACGAATTGCGATGCCCGACAGCTAGTACCAGGCAGTCGCAAAGGATGCGCATGGCAGTTTCGCCACCGTACCCACAAAATATACACAGATAGGAGCCCGATGAAATTAGTTAAAACTATCTAACGGAAGGGCGATAAACAGTTCCGTGTGACCTAAAATCATTTTTGTACATTTGAAAAATTTAATATTACTTTGTATATTAGTTTAATCGTCCGATGTTTACAGCACTTTCACTATTTTTTTCAGTTTGCAGTTGTATTCAGAATAGTCAAGTAGCCTAGAGTTTTGCAGACATAAACTCTATTTTTTATTACTTATTTTGTCTTCTTTTGTTTCCCACTTTGATATGCAAAATTAATGTTAATGATGTTAAAAATCACCAATAAATTGATTAATATTGGCAGAATTATTATGTGTGATTTTTATTAACATATTAAGACTTTTTATATTTAAAAACAGATGTTTGGAGTTTTTTATTAAAATTTTGTTTTGTTAATTTTTTATATATTTTTAAATCGATGTTTTTGCTACTGATGGCAAAAATATTTGCTTGAAATATTAGTAACCAAAATGAAGCTGATTTTGAAAAGAGAATTTTTTAATTCAATTGAAATTGTAGAGGGAGTTACTTAAAAAAATTTTATTTTGTATTTGTAGTTACTTATGTAATTTAATTTAATGCATAAGGTTCCCGAGATTCGATAGAAATGCAAAAAAGACGAACCAAAAACACCAGCTGACATTTTGCTTTTTATATACGTTATTTTATGAGCTTTGAGGCCTCATAACTAGTGAAGTAGAGTTCAAAAATCTAAACGTCATCCGATGTTTTTGCTCGATTGGAGACATTCTATCACTCTGCTTCAGGAGTTCGATTGAGTTTCGCACACCCTGTAAAAAGTTAGAATATAATTTAATTTTAAAATACTTGGGAATAATTTACCCTTTATTATAGAGATGTTCGTTGAGACATAAATGAGTTGGAAATTGCCGATAAATAATACTATAGCAATTTTACAATGTAAACTTTTATCAAACTGTGAGGAAATATAAAGTATTTATAATGGAAGAGTTAACAAATTCAATAACCAACCGGTGCTCCTAATAACAAATATAATAAAATTTTTAATATTTTACAAAATTAATTTGTATTTGTACTTATAATTTTCCAAAAGGAAATTGAGATGTTCAGAAGCAAAGTTGCCAAACCATTGCTACTAAAATTTTTGCTTTTTTGTTAGAAATGTATATAATTTTAGGTCCCAAATTTGATTTTATCGACAAAAAAGTCAAATATTTCCCACACTTCGTTATTTTTGATTTTGAGATTTTTGAGAGTGAGATTTAGGTCACTTTGCTTCTCAAACCCTAAATTAAAAATATATTTAATTAAAAATTTAATCAAAAAATACTTAATATTTGCACAAGAGTATAATAAAATTCAAATTAGAAAAGATCTACCTAAATATCATGTATTTATAAGAACAAAGCCGTAAAAGCACTTAAAGTAAAAATTTTAGTTGTCTTTTAAATTTGTAATGTAATAAAAATTATAAGACACAGCGGTAAACGCATAAAATAAATGAATAAAATATAAAAACGAAAAAAAAACCACCCATTCATATTCAGTCCATAATCTTTTAATGATTTCACAAATTCATTATTTTAATTCAAATTTATTTGAAAGTGAAAACCGCACAATATGCTCTATATACGCCATATATGACAATGTGCGTTATGTTATTCAATTATTTCATAGTATGGCCAGGCCAATCGGCAATTTACTTTTGTTTTTAGACATTGTACTAACGCATGTTATTCATATTTATAAAAGAAAATTTCTCACAAAGTTACATTTTACATTTGTAACATATTTATGTCATACAGAGCTGGAGAACTTTTGTGACACATTTCCAAAAAAAAAAAATTTCTTTAAAATAAGAAGATGAAATTTTATAAACAAAATTAGGTTTAGTAAAACATAGAGTAATAGACTCAGTATTAATTGACCTTATTTATCTAGATTCTAGGATAAGATTTTTACGTATTTTACAACTCAACTTCATATTATTGTTTTAAATTCTATAGAAGTAGAATGATTAGTACTCATTTTTCGTAAAGAAATTAAAAAATTTTTGTAAAGTATAAAAAAATATCAAAATATCGAACTGATTCCTCAAATTTAGCATTATCTAAAATCGGTTAGATGCTGACTTCCGATATAATTTTTCCTTCTGCATGGCAACTTGAATGAGTCTCAAATTTTATCAACTTGAATAATAGCGATACATAGTTCCAACTAATTTCTGAATTTAATTTAATTTTAAAAAGCAGCCAAAATTTGTTATACATGTACATATATAGGTTTTCAACTCCTGTTTATGGTTGAAATTCTCTTGATCCAAAAATAGTATATGAAATTCCAAATATCACCAGATATGTGTTTCTTTCTTTAATTTTAAATTATTTTTTTTATACAGACAAACATGAATTAACTAACTGTTTATTTTATTTATTTTACCTATGTATAATTACATTTTAACTTGCTTTTATAACTTTTTCTTTTATTTCTTATCTTTCTATTTTTCACTTTATAAACACGCTAATCTATAATTATTTTTTTTTTTTTAGTAAAATGTTTTAAAAGAAAATTTTTAGATTTGTTTTAGCACAATATAAAAAGAAAAAAATTAAAAAAAAATAATTAGTTTTATAACTGTTAATTTTAGGGTTTTTTATGTCATTTTCTCTCATTTTGTACTTCACAATTATACGATACGTGTAATATCTGTCATATATGATTTTACATAAACAATATAAATAAAATTGTAGGAGATTCTCATATTTAAGTTTGAAATTATATTAGAAATGTTATTATTAATATGTCACATATGAAATTCAAATATTTTATTTTGAAAAGCAGTTCTCTTTATTAGAAATTCTCTCTGGAAAGTTTGTAAATCCACGAAACATGACATACGAAAATATCATTATTAAAATACGGCTGAATTTAATTTTATTCAGATAATAGTACTCGTATATACACATATTTAAACAGTTTATTATACCGTATATACATATAAATAATTACCGTATATTATAATATATTATACCGTATACCGTATATTATACCGTATATTATAATATAAAACTCTTTTTACTTAGTATTATTTGTCTATATTGCACAGAATTATATATTAAGAATCCTGATTTCAAATTTGTGAAGTCAGCAAATTTTAAAAAAAATTCATTTCAATTTATTACCTCTTCAAAAATATCTTAAAAATCTTTTTATCAGCACTGAGCCAATTCTTACATATATAGCAGAATTCACGATTTAATCTGAATCTGATGAAAGTCGTATATATGTGTTAACCCCGTTTGATATCAGACTTTGTCTTTTTTCCGAAATATAATCGAAATTTCTCTATTTTTTATCAAATTTACTGTCAAGAAAATAGCAACAATTAATTTTTTTTTTTGTGAAAGTTTTAAGCAGCAAACAGCTGATTTTTAATTTTGTTGTAGTTTTCAGTGTTAGGTTTGAACACAATTTCAGTCTGATAACAGTCATCAGCCTTTACCTTAGATTTTATCATATATTTAAACAGTACCTAATAAATACTGAGAAAAGAATTTTTCACAAAATGCCTCAATCCATAGTAGGCTTTCATTTAATGTCATATACTCGTAGAGTCAATGACAGATGTAAAATGAATTGACGCGCAAAAATATTCGTACATTGTGAACGGAGAAAAGCATTAATAACATTTAAAATTTATTTACATGAAATATTTAATGAAATCATAAATTACATGAAATTTTTATACAAAGCAAAAATAATAAAAAATATATAATATAATTTTCTAAATTAAATTTGAAAATTTTATAAAAAACAATGTAAGAGAGGCAATTATTTATTTTTTATTTGTTTCTACTCGTGTATTTGTAAAGATCATCGCCATCAACAGTTTTATGAACACAAAGATGAACGCATAAGAGATTGCATTCGCACAATCAAATACTCACCTGAACAATAAAAATGCTGAAGAAAAAAAGGGTTAATTACTAAAAACAAAAAAAACTACTTTTCAATCGGAAATGTAGAAAATCTTAAAATTTCACCAAAAAAAAAAAAAGAAAATCCATTGTAATTATAATTATTTTCATTTAAAAAAATTATTTTAAAAAAATATTCGTGGAATATGCAAGCCGACAATATTCAAATAATTTTTAAATTATAGAATTAAAAGTTTCTCTCTCCTAAATCTTTTAAATTTATAAAAATATTATTTTATTAATTATTTTCTATCTTTTTTTTATTTATAATTTTAGATTAATGCCAATTATTGGACAATATTCAATAGCTGATATTGGTAAATTATCATTTTTATTACGTGAAACTTATGGTGATATTGTTAAATTTAGTGGTCTTATGGGAAGACCAGATCTTTTATTCATTTATGATGCTGATGAAATTGAAAAGGTAAAATAAATGTTTACTATAATATTTTACATTATAATCTAAATATAGTTCTATATATTTTCTTATTTATTTATTTATTTAATTTCATATCTCAAGAGTGCAATTTTGCTCATACAGAATGTTGTTTAAAATAATATTTTAAATTTCACAATACAAAATTTATTTAAAATAAAATTTAAATATGTATTTAAAAAATGCACCTTAACAAAGTCAAAATATATACAAATACCCGTTTTAAGTACATATTTAATATTATTTTAGTTGTAGGGCATTCAAATTTACTTAAAATTATTGTTTACATAAAAATCATAGTTATATTTGTGTTTCTGGCACATATTTTTGTTTGATTTAATTAATAATAAATTTAAGAAGCCTGTATTCCATATATGTATATAAGACTTCAAATATTTTAATATTATGTATTAGTTAGTGAACCGGTATAGGTGAATAGTTGCATAGTAGTGTGATATTGATTAGGAACAGATTTGTAATCGATTGCAATTAGAATTTATTTGAAATTTAATCAAATTCAAATAAGTGCATTTCAACAAAATTTTTGTGAATGAAACTACTTTCGAACGAAATTTTACTTCAATACGAAATTGCATGTACTTAGGTATAATTTCGTTCTACATCATTTTTGAATCGAATTATCAACTAGTTCAGTCAGGCTAATTGTATACAATTATTAAAATATCAAAAATTAAAAATTTCACTTCGTGGATTTTGAATAGTTATGATGGTCGCCCTTTCTTTTCTTCTGCTGCATATACACTTTTGGCCGTTAAAGATCATATGATACTGTTTATTAGTTGCTAATGTTTGATGCGATCTTTGGCTGTATGCATCAGTTCTCCTATATATTTGAAATACCTGCCTACTATCTAATATTTCTTAGCCATAACATATTAATTTTAAATTTGTATTCAAAGATTTATAGTTTCGGTTGCTTATAACAATTGATAAAGAATAAAATAAAAGCATATTTTTTTATAATCACTTGTCATAATTGAATTCTTCAACAATAATTTGTTTTACTGAATGAATCATGTTAAACTTATAGGTTTGGTTCACAGCCCTATTTTAATAATCTTTGATAATGTTTATATTAATGATTATTTATTAATACTTACATACACTAGGTATTTAAACAAAATACTTTCAATTATAATAAAACGTAAACACTTTCAATGAGTGTTCGCGCACTCACAATGTAAGGTTAAAACGTTAAATGTTTGAGCACAGAAAAGAAAAATAAAAAATAAATATAATAGGCATATATTTTGTATGTGTTTATGTATAAAAATATTTACAAAAATAAATATTAAAAAAAAGTAATCAGAAGCTTTAGCAAATATAAGCACAAAAACTAATGTAGGATGCTAATTTGTACTAAATAGCAAATATCTATAAGCAAAGGTAGGTAATAGCAAAGTCATTTCAATTAGCATTATAGAAATTTAAAAAAAAATCAAGTATTTTATTAGCTTATCTGAAAAATATTTGGAATTATTGAATTATTTTTAAAATTCTTGTAATATTTCTTATTTATAGTAATTTCATTAATTTATAGTAATTCCAGATTCTAAATAATAAATTCATTCTACGCCTTGGTATTCTTGGCATTTAATAATGTGCAAAATCTAATTATTCTAACATATTTAATTGACTAACTTGCAAATTTTTGAATTCGTTTTTTTTATTTTTTATTTTGTAGTGCTATAGAAATGAAGGACCAACACCATTTCGTCCATCAATGCCAAGTTTAGTTAAATATAAAAGTGTTGTAAGAAAAGATTTCTTTGGTGATTTACCAGGAGTAGTTGGAGTGTAAGTATGAAAAGATTCTATACATTGCATATTATGGGCACGAACAAATTCAAGAATATGACTTGTATTGCAGAGTTTTATGTCTTATTTGCAGTATACAAATTAAACAAAACTGTACATACATATATAAAATTTCATTAAAAAATAACTGTACTTCTATGACATTTCATTTATTTACATATATGCATAGTATATATATGTATATGTATATATAAATTTATTAATAAATATATATTTTTACGGGCAGACATGGTGAACAATGGCGTGAATTTCGTTCTCGTGTTCAAAAACCAATATTACAATTATCAACTGTTAGACGATATTTGGCACCATTAGAAGAAGTAACAGAAGAATTTATATTAAGATGTCAACAATTATTAGATGATAATATGGAATTGCCAGATGATTTTGATAATGAAATTCATAAATGGTCACTCGAATGTAAGTTTCTTAAAATGCAATATAATTCAATTAAAAAATTTTTTTTTTATAAAAGCAAAAGTAAAACAATTTTTTTTTTTCCTTTTTGCAAAAACAAAAATTAATTGCATTCTTTTGAAAATTTTTTTTATATGACGTCATATTCACATAAGTTACTTACTGATAAAATAGACAAGAAGAAAGAAAACGATATAACAGGCGTGGAATGCAATTTTAAAATCACAGTTGATTAACAATTTTCTGGATTTTATTAAAAAATTAATCTCATTTCACTTCAGTATAATATCTCTTGAGTGTCGTCGACGATTTCATCAATAATTTCATCTGTTAGTAATTTATTCACCACAATTTCAAAGGATGCTAAAAATATTCCCTATCTCACTTATGAGGTAGCAATTTACATTAAATCTTTAAAATACGAGGTGAAAATTTTAATAAATTCATCGAGTTGATATTCGAATCAAATTTTCCGTGAGAGTTTTACGTACGATAACAAAATTAATACTGTGTAAGAGAGCATACAACAATTAGTGGTATACAGAGAATATGAAAGTATGAGAGAGAAATATTAAGGAAGTAATTACAAATTAAAGAGCGAAAGGTGTAGAATTTACTACTACCTATTAATTGAAGTCATTATATTTAAGTTCTACTGTCTGGTTATATGAAATTATAATGAAAAGCAAACAGAAGTCAATGAATTTAATAAAAAAAAAAAATTGTATAGCTTGGAAAATTAAAAATTTTGGCACGTTTCAAAATAATATCAACATTTCAATAGTGTGTTTTCTGTTTGCATATTGTATAAAATGAAATATAGTGTAATAGAAAAAGTTAATGAAGCGTTAATTTTCAATTAAAAGTAAAAAAATTTTTAACAATTTCTTTATGCTTTTATAGTTTTCCTTCTTGTCTCTATAACATAGGAAACAATTTTAACATACCATTAATTTACTTGTTTGCAAATGTTTAATAACCATAAAAAAATAATTAGCTTTGCTAGATTATCTTTAATCTATATTAGAAACAAATCATCAGCTTATGCCGAAATCATATTTGAAAGAAAATTTAAATTTTTCTTGTTTTTTTTCTAGGTATTGGTCGTGTTGCACTTGATACACGTTTAGGTTGTTTAAAACCAAATCTATCACCAGATTCTGAACCACAACAAATAATTAATGCAGCTAAATATGCATTAAGAAATGTTGCAACATTAGAATTAAAAGCACCATATTGGAGATATTTTCCGACACCATTATGGACAAAATATGTTAATAATATGAATTTCTTTGTAGAGTAAATAAAAATAATATTTAATAAAATAATTTATATATAAATTTCAAATATATATATATTTTAGAGTATGTATGAAATATATTAAAGATGCTAAACAGAGAATGAAATCAAAAGATCAAGAAAAATTAAATGATGTTGAACCATCTTTATTAGAGAAAGTTATGAGAACTGAAAAAGATGATAAAATTGCAACAATTATGGCATTAGATTTAATTTTAGTTGGAATTGATACAGTAATTATATATGAAAAATAATCTAAGAAATATTATTTTAAAATATTTTTTATATAAAATACATAGATATCGATGGCAGTTTGTTCAATTCTATATCAATTAGCAATTCATCCAACTGAACAAGAAAAATTATATGAAGAATTAATAAAAATTTTACCAGATCCAAATATTCCACTTACAATATCATTATTAGATAAAATGCATTATTTAAAAGCATTTATTAAAGAAGTTTTTAGAACACATAGTACAGTTATTGGAAATGGTCGAACATTACAAGAAGATACAATTATATCTGGATATAAAATTCCGAAAGGAGTAAATTTTTTTTTTAAATTTTGAATAATGTTTTTGTTTTGATATTAATAAAATTTTATTTTAATTTTAGGTTCAAGTAGTATTTCCAACATTAGTAACTGGTAATATGGAAGAATATGTTACAAATGCAAATGAATTTAAACCGGAACGTTGGTTAAAATCAAATCAAGGTGGTATTGATGGTAAATTACATCCATATTGTAGTTTACCATATGGTTTTGGTGCTAGAATGTGCTTAGGTAGACGATTTGCTGATTTAGAAATGCAAGTGTTATTAGCAAAAGTGAGTATACATCTGATTTCAAGAGAAAGATTTTTTTAAACATCTTGACCTAGGTAAAGCCGTAATTTTCATTTTACTTAATGCAAGCACTTAAATATTTTAATTTTATTTTTAATTATTCTTATTTATTTTATTTTTACATTTTGTTTTTTTTTTTTCTTCTGTTTTAGTTACTAAGAAATTATAAATTAGAATATCATCATAAGCCTTTGAAATATGCAGTAACATTCATGTATGCACCGGATGGGCCACTCAAATTTAAAATGATGAAACGATAAATTTTTAATTTTTTTTCTGTTATTTTTTGTATCAGTAAAATTTTTTATTTTCGAAATTATTAAATACTTAAGAATAATAAAAATATAGCTAAAATTTATTATAATATGAATAAGAAATTATATTATAGGTTATCCATGCAATTAAATATTAATTATTGCAATAAAATTATAAATTAAAATAAAAATATTTTCAACCTATTCCTTTTTATTTAATTGAATTAACATTTAAAAATTTTGTCTATAAAATTTGCATAAAAGTAAATGTTGCGATTGTAAATGATTAAAACCGATACATTGAGTACTTTTGCATAATTTATGATTACATTGTGTGTGCATAAAACGACTATTTTAATTCTATTCGGTTGTATTATCCAGCAAAACACTCTTTCTCATCTAGAAACAGAAATTTATTTGAAGAAGAATCGGTAAAATTAAAATATTTTTACATATTACAACAAAATGACTTTTACAAGCGAGTAATTATTTTATTTAATTTTAAAAAAAAAATCCAAAATTTCATAACATACTTTTAGGAGTAGAAAACAAACACCGATGGCGACACTTTACACAACTACTACATAACATTTTAGAACTAATTAATTTAAATGTAATACTTTGATTTGCAAAGAGATGACGCTTTCAAATTGTCTATTTCCAAATTTCTACAATCGTAAAGAATTTGACATTAACTATATTTGAGTGATTAAGAGTTACCATATTCTATGTAAAACTAATTTTTATTTTCAGAAATATCAGGTCAGAAATAAAGAAATTTCCTTTATTTTATTTGCCTATTTATTTTTAAAAATGAAATGTGTCTTTCAAAGTTAAATATGTAATGGAATTTCAAAAGGTTTTACATAAGAATTAATATGTGTTTTATTTCAAAAAATTAAAAGAATAAAAAGATTTTTTGTCAATAAAAATTTTGCTTGAATTATTTTTTGAAGCTAAGTTCTTTCGAATATTCTGGCAATAATTCATCAATAAGAATTTGTTTTGAATAGTAAAAAAAAAATACTTAAACAAAATCTTCATAATATTTAATTTTTTTTTTTTAATTTTAATATTTTATATTAATTAAAAAGTGTTCAATATTAAAATGATGATTTCTATGGGAGTAATTGATTGCTTTAAGCAAAATCATTCATTAGAAATTACAAAAGAATCTGTAATAATGCAACCATCTGATAATTTTAATATTAAAAATTATCCGGTTCGTCGTATAAAAATCAGTCCAATACAATTTTATTTTTTCTATAAGGAAATAACAAATTGGAATAAATTTATTGATAAATTACTTAAAAATCAATATTTATTAGAACATTTTATAAGAATAAGATTATTAACTAATTCAACTATAACAATTGATTATACATGGAGCCGTATAACTTATATGACATTAATGGAAAATATTGAAACGGAGCATATCTTTTTATGGCTTTCAACATTAGGTGGTGGATATAGTTCATTAGGAGAACATTTTAGTAGTTGTGCTATAATAGCTTCAAAAATATCATTACAACAATTAATCTTGTGCTATAAATTAGGTGATCCAAATATGCAATCAAGATGTAAATTATTTTATAGTATATCATTAATACAACAAGGAAAATTGAGATTAGCAAAGAAAATAATTCGAGAACAATATAAATTTGCAAAATCACAAACAGTAGAGGATTTCAGATTAATAAAAATGTGCCAGGGTATATGGTTAAAATTACAACATTCCTATCGCATTCGTTTAATTGGTTCAGATTCAAAATAGAATATTCATTTTTAATAATAAAATAATGTAGATAATATTTGTTTTTTTTTAAAAAACAAAAAGAAAAGATAAATAATAAAGATATTTTTAAAAATGTTATCAAATCAAAGTTTTATTTTTCATTATACATAATGGTCATACCGCCTCATATTGCAAAAATGCATTAGTTCCCATAGAGGATGAAATTTTTTTTTGATTCTAATGAATTTATATGGTATTTATCGTTTTTTAATTAGGCACTTACCTCTCTTCATAATTGAATATTTTCATGAATTAAAATTTCAGACTAATTGATATTGCAAGATTATTGCAAGATTCTAACATTACCACTTTTTTTTTTCCAAATTGTAAGGCCAAGTTTTACTACAAATTTAAATTGTGTACTTATAAATTTAAAAATTTCGTTCACTTAAACTTCTTTCTTTTAACGTTGAAATTTTGCAAAAGTTACCTATAAAGTTTTTTAATTGGCTTTAAATTTTCCTGATTAATTTCCAAAAATTAATCAGATTTTTCTGATTTAACTCAAAAAATTATACATTTGCAGACTAGCGCAATCAAACATAAATCATTTTATAGTTATCTGTTGAAATATAATTATAAATATAATTATCAGGCAAGAGTAAATTCAATTTTAAATTCTAATTCCTTTACAAAGAAATAATTGAATGATGCAATTAATTCAACTAAATATCATTCTTTCCGGAACAAACAACAAGCACAATTTAACAAAACCAGAAATCTATAAGATCAGCCGGAATCAACTACTTACGGAAATTAACATTTAGTTACGGAAATTAACATTTTACTACACTCTACATAAATTTAAAAGCTGATTCAATTAAAAAAAAATGTTAATTTTTTTGATAATAATAAGGAAAGCCAATTATTTGCGAATATTTTCCACGTTGTAAAAAAAAAGACTTTTATGTAATTATGGAAATAATCACCTAAATCCAGATGAATATCAGTTAATTAGTCGTATCACTTGAGATTATGCAATATACCTAAGATTTTTTTAGTTTTCAGAATAGAACTGCATGTTTTAGAATTCAGAATATTTGAACAATAAATAATCCCATCAAGTGATGCGACTAACAATATATGGTAGAATATGGTGTACGTAATTCTTAAAAGTTTTACCAGTTTATTTACATGTTTACCATAACAAATCAATTAAGAATCCAGCATCTGCTTAAAAAATATATGTACATATTACAAATAACCCTCATCTCATTCAGATGCAATCATAAATGGGTATATGCATTCAGATGCCACACTACCCAATAGGTGGTCTATTAAAATATAAAATTTAAATGAAAAAACAAAATAATGTTTAAAATAAAAAAACCACTTACAACATTAAAAAAAATTACATAGTTTTTCTTTTTGTTTTTTTGTGTTTTCACTTTTCATTTTTTTAATCTTATTTAAAAAAAAAAAAATCTAGTTTTAACAAAGGCATAGAAATAATTAAATTAAAAATATCATTTTAAATTGTTTTGTGATTTTTTTTTTTTTCTGTTTTATATTATTTTAAAAAATACATAAAATTTAATACATTAATAAATTGATTATAAAAGAAGGAATAATATTGTTTTTGTTTTTTTTTTTTAATTTTTTTTTTTAATTTTTGTATTTTCTTTTTTTTATAAATTTTCTTTAATAAATTGTTTCATTTTCTTTTTAATTTTATTTTTTAATTTATATTTTTATTTTATTATTTATTTTATTTTTTTTTTTGTTTTTGTAATAAATTTTTCTTATACAGCTTTATTTAACGATTTTTTTTTTCTCTTCGCACTTAAAAAAAAAAAAAAAATCTTAATTTTTCTAACGGACAAAAATTGTAATTTTTTTTTTTTTTATTTTATTTTTAATTAAAAAATTTTCTTTTTTTTTTGTTTATTTTTACAATTAAATACTTTATTTATAATAAATTTTAAATAAAGGAAGAAAATATAAAAAAAAAAAAAATTATACAAAAAATATGCATGAATAATTATTTTATATCTTTGCTTTGTAATTTTTAATTTAATTTATCTTTAATCTTTTTATCATTTTATTTATATTTATTTTATATAAAAAAGGAAAAAAATTTGTTAAAAATATAAAAACAAAAGGATTAATATTTTATAATTAACTTTATATCTCTAGAAATTCTAGAATTATAAGCAGGCAATTAATGTCGTCTTTAATATTACTAATTTTTTTTTTTGATTTAATTTTTTACTTTTCTTATTTTTTATTATAAATTTATTTATCAACGATATAAATTTGTTTTAAAAATTTATTTGCTTTTTATTTTTTTAATTTTAATTTGAAAAAAAAAAAAAGAAAACTAATAAAAGATAAAAGAGTGGTGTTTAAAATTTTATTTTCTCTTAATTATTTTTAAGAAAAATGACCAAAAAATGAAAAAAAAAAAAATTGAAAATTGTCAGATAAGAGAAAAAGGAAAAATTTAAATAAAATTTAATTTTTAATTAATAGGTTTTTCTTCTTGTTGTTTTCTTTTTCTTTTATTTATATACATATGTACATACACATATATACATTAACGTATGCATATAAAATATATATTACATATGTATAATTATACATAATATTTATATAATATAAAAAAAAAAAAAAAAAAATTATAAAAAAATGGTTCCTTTTGTAATTTATTATTATTATTATTTAGATTTTATTGCGTTTTCAGCTCTTTTCCAATACTGTACGAAACAATTTTACCCCAATCAATTTTAGTTCTTGTTATAGGTAATTGCCGGCGCATTGCTTTAAATGTTGTATCAGACATTGTGACATAATTTTCTGAAATAGCCATTTGATATTCATTTTCAGCTTCTTCAATTATTTTTATAATATCTTTTGCTGTTTGCTGTTCATTTGTGACTGTTAAGGGTTCACGACATTCTTTTGATGATACTAATTGCACATTACCGTCTTCGTAGTAATGAACCTAAAATAAAAGAAACAAAAAAAAAAAGAATTAAAGAATATTGAATTTTAGTGTTTTTTAAAAATTTAATAAAAACAAAATTATAATTAAATAATTTTCAATAATTAATAAATTTTTTAATAATTTATTTTCTAAATTATTAAAAATTCAAAAATAGAACAAAATTTATTCTATATAGAAGCTTTTGTGGTAATCAAAATTAATACAAAACCAAGCTGGGTTTTTGGTTGTTTATATTAAAAATATAAATTCAATGATTTCAATAAAAAAATATATGAATGAGTCATTCATATTATTTATAAATGTACTTTTGAAAATTATGAGTGAACTTTTGAAAATTTTCATTATACGGTTTTTATACATGTTGTAATCTAAAATAATTCAGAAAATTATATCTATAAAAATTACCTGAACTTTAAGAACACCTTTAACTTCAGTAACTGGGCTACCAGGAGTAAAAGAAACATGCCATTGTGATCGCCATCTACCATTCCAATAATTTTTTGGTTGAAATTGATGATCTTCAATGCAAATTGTTAGTGTAATTTGACTACCTTGTGTTTTACCAAATACAGAACATACCTAATATATACACAAATATAATTTACAACATAATTTTAATTATAAATTATAAATTTTACTTACACCATGTCTATAATGATTGGCAGTATAAGCTATTGTTTCTATATCTAAAGCGGATCGCCATAATTCTGAATTCGAATCAGTTTCATAATTTTGATAATCGGATGCTTCTTTACGTAAATGATCATATTTAAATGCTTGTTTAGTTCTGGGATCATAAAATCGACCGCCTCCTAATAAAATACAAAAAAAAATACATTTCAATTTATATTATTTATTCATATTGATGTAGATAAGAAAGGTACACAATAATATAAGTTTTAATTTCAATTTAAATAAAGCAAGAAATTATTTTATATATAATATATAGGTACTTGACTATGTATTTAGTATGTATAAGCTTATATAATGCGTTTTATTCTACAAATGTTAATCAGAAATAAACAAACATAAAACAGGCTACACCTTTTTTTTTTTTTTGTAATTCAAATGTAATAAATTTTTATCGAACGTTATCAAAATCTGATAACTTGATTTTTTCTTTAATTTAGTAAAGCAAAACTTTTAAGTTGACCTCATATTTTGAGAAATTTTGGTAGAAAATCTTAAAAAGCCAAAATGACCTATATAAATTTTGTATATACATAAAAATTTATTCTGGGAAAGACCTATTTTAAGTTTAACATATACCACTTATATTAATATATAACTTAACGTACACATATGTATGTACATATACTTATGTATATACAAATGTACTTATATATTTTTGTCAAATCGACTTATCGGATTTTTTATTGGCAATAACAATAATAATAATTATTTTCCCATAATAACGATTATGTATCCCTATTTTTTTCTTTTTCTTTTATTCTTTTTGACTATCCTTATCTGGAAAGAACATAATTATGTTTTAGCTTTTTATGCAATAATATTTTTAAAAAGATATTTCAAGTAAAGCTTATGTCAATATATCGGTTTTGACAAATCCAATACAAATATTTAAACATAAATTATTATGACCATATATGGTCATAGCAACTTAAACTCGAATTTTACCTTATTCAATTTATTACTTTTATCAACTTACATTCTTACAAATTAGTATATAAGTAGCATATTATGTACTATTATTGTATTTTATTATATTGTTGTTTTAAATTTAATTTATTTTGGGAAATAATAATCTTGCCAACACCTTGATTTTCCATTTTTAATTAACATTAATTTATAATATACTATATCTATTTATATATAGTATGTAATAATTTTATAAACCATTATGCTTACCTAAGTCATTATATTCAGTAATCACAGCTGAATGGTCGCTGCCCTCAATTTTAACAGGTGTTATTTGATCTTTATTATATTGAGCAAATGCAGCACTTGCTCCTTCTTTTAATAAAGCATCATTTTTTAATAATTCACGAACATCATTAAATACTTCATTGAATTCTCCAGGTGGTGCATGCAATATAAAATCAGAAACAATTCTAACCTTTTCACTATCACTGATCTCACTCTCCATAATAATAACTAAAATATAAGTGCTAATTATTAATAAAAAAAAAAATTTTTTTATTTTTTATAAAAAAAAAAAAGTATTTTAAAATTTCGATTGATTCATATAAAAAATTTGCTTTTAAAAATTTATTTGGTTATTAAGTGTCAATTTTCTCTTTTCAACTGTGATGACGATTTCATCGCGATGTAATAGATGTTGTCAAAAATTTATGATTCATGTTTTAGCACAAATGTTTTAATTCATTTTTTTATAATTATTAATATCATTTTTATTACAAACCTTTATAGTAGAAACTTAAAAATATATATTTAAATGCGTCTTAATAATAATTGGAATTTTATATATTTTTAATTTAACAAAATAAAATTTAATTAAGGAAGAATGCACTTTTTTTTAACTCGTATCGTTTTTAATGCTGTTGTCAAGTTTTTTCCTCTTTTTTTTTTGCAAGTTAGAATAGTACTAGATTATTTGGTAATAGTAAATGACAGCTTTTACAAAACGTAATAAATGACATTATAACAAGCGGGAATTTTAAAATTTATAAAGTAGAGTCTACACTATTTATCGCCAATTTTCTTAAAACTGATTTAACGATTCATTTTTTTATCAACTCAAATAGGAAGCAGTGAATCGAAAATGGAGGTTAGTATAAAAAGGATACTGAATTTAATTTAAATTTTAATTTGATTTCAATTTGGTTTTAATTTAAATTTAAACTAAAACAGATGTATTTAAAATTGAAAAAATTATGTAAATAAAATTGCCTAATATAGAATTCTATGACTTAATAGATTCAATTGGTTGAATAATTCACGTCTTTTTCTTTTGTTTTTGTCTTCAATTCGGATTTTTCAATTTCAAATTTTATTTCCATGTCATTTTTATTTCCGAACATCTGAAACTCAATCTTTTTGGGGATATTTTAATTTAATTAAAGTACTCAACTCAAAAAAAATTTTTTGTTCCATGTCCTATCTAAAAAAAAAATCAAAAGAAGTAATTTGTTTTAAAATTGTCAAAAAAAATAATATTCTGTATTTGTAATGTAATATAAGGATTTTATTCTCAAATTTCGTTCAAGCATTCAAGAATTTTTTTTAATAAATTTAAAAAAAATTAATTAACTATTATATTATATTAAGCTATATAAATTATACTAATCGTAATAAAGTTGAATATTTCCCAAATGAGACTTTTTATCAAATAATTTTTGTTAAAAAAGAGAAAAAGAATTTTAATTTAATCAAGTCAAAAATAAAATTGAGTTCAAGTATGTAGCCCTTATGAACTCAGTTCTAAAGCTGCATTTCATCAGTTTAGCGACGAGGTGATGTATTTGCTGCAAAAATGCAGCCGACTTTTTCAAATCGTAATGTTCACAAATTGCAAGTTTAGTAAATTTCCATAACATAGTAGCAATACAATTTGCTATAAAACAATTGCATTCAATTCGTTATCTGGTAATGTTGCTAATATTTATAATACACAATAAAATGATGAATAAATATCTACATGCACACATTTTTTACATATTTAAAAATATTTTTTAATAAAATTAAAATCACATTAATAGAATTTTTTGTAATATTAAAAAAAATAATACATGAAAGTTGCATCTCAAATGTCAATTATTTTAAAAATCGTATGCTTTAAAGATATTCGAGAATCGTCGATAGCGCAAAAGTGTGACAACAAAAACTAACAGAAAAATAATACAAATTTGTGGAGTGGAGAGTTTATGTGGAATCGAAATGGAATGTTTCATTTTTGATTTTTACATTTCAGTTTATTTTGAGATGTCAACGTGTGAAGAATTAAATTAATAGTACGGCGATTTCGTTATGTTTTTAATTTCTGTTTACGAACTCGTGTTTAAAATAATTCTAATATATAAATAACGGTTTATTTATTTTACGTGGGCATTGATAATAATTAAATAAAAATATTAACAAAATAAAATCATAAATCGATAATTTTGAAACAAATAAATTTTGATGAAATGTGATTATTACTATACACAAATACATGAAGAAGAAAAAAAAAAGTTGTTAAACAGCCTTTATTAGTATTGGAATGATTATTTGAAATCCGACAAGTCGTTTTTCTACCTGGATTTACCTGTTTGAATAGTTTTATTATTATTTTTTTTCTTTTGTTTTTATTGCCTTATTTCCTCCGTATCAATGTATATGTGAGAGCGGTGGTACAGTATTTTCAATTTTATATAAAGAAAAAGTTAAAAAAGAATGCATTCTGAGTTTTCAACAAATTATTTTTTTAAAATAAAATAAAAAAATTCAAAATGACGACGAGGTGATTTTATATGAATACAAATTTATATTTGAATTATAATAATGAATCTTCGAAAAAAATTTTAAAAGAAAATTAATAAAAATCGAAAATACCCAAAAAATAATTAAATTTTCGAAACAAATTATTAAAAAATATACAAAAGTTTATTTAAATTGAAGAGGAAAATATTATTTAGCTTTCCATTGTGTGGAAAGTGTTATAATAAACTTTACCTTAATACACTAACGATTTTCATATGTAGTTAGTTAAATATAAAATAAAAGAAAAAATCGTATTCTAAATATTGGTGCCTTTTGAATATAAATAAAAAAAGAGTGAATAAAAAATTCATATTTAAAAATATTTAAGTCAAAAAAAGAAGAAGAAATTAAAATAATAGTAAAAAATGAAAAAATCAAAAATTAATATAATTTTGCAACTAGTTAGTTTTTTAATATTAATTAGTAAAGTTTCCCCAACAAAAAGAACTAAATATGAAAATTCAACGACATTATTTCGGGAAAATGAATATGAACAAGAATCGTTAATTTTAAATCGTTTAAAACGTGATTCGAATTCGATCAGTTTGGCTAATTGGCATGATAATCGTAAACCGGCATTTAAAGATTGTAAAGATATTGGTCCATCGGTTAAAGAAGAACAACCGGCCGGTGCATTTGTTATTAAAGTTGAAGCCGAAGATCCGGATGTTAATAATACAATACGGTATAGTTTTGTATCGGCTGCTGCACAACGTCCAAAATTTCGTATTGATCCGAAAACCGGTGTTATAACAACGTCACATATATTCGATCGCGATGAACCAATACACGAAAAAGAAGTTTATATTACTGTACAAGCAACAGATAATGGTCGTCCACCATTAGATGATGTATGCACATTTAAAGTTACCATTGAGGATATAAATGATAATCCACCAGTATTTAATAAAGCAAAATATGAGGAATTAATGTCCGAAGATACATTGGTAAGTTTTTAATATTAAAACAATGATTATGGTTAAACTCTGAATAGTTGACTAATTGGCATGATTAACTATTTTTGTTTACATTTTAAAAGTTTATTCTTAATTTGCTGCATACTTATTGAAATATTCAAAGCACTTACCTACCTATCTACTTAGTATCAATTTGACCAGGAAATTTAGTTGAATGTACCTCCGAAGCATCTCTTTTAAGTAGACACTAACTTAGTTATTTATGTAGGTAAACAATAACCGCTACATAACATTTAGGTTTAAAATAAATCATTTTAAAAATTCCATGTTCCCAGCAATAATACACATTCAACAAGTGTTACTCGTTCTCTATACTTAAACATGTTGTGCAAATAATTATTTACGTAATAAGAAGATGCATAATATCAACAATTTCGTATAAAATTTAATAATTTATTTTATTTATAAAAAATAACAAAATTTGAAAAATATGTCAATGAATAGGTTAATAAGTTTAATTAAGTTTACATGATTTTTACCTGTAACTTTAAAAAAATATGATAGTAGGAACATAATATGTACCTACTTACCTATGGGCTTGCTTAAATATTCATTCATAGCTAAGTGTTGTTCACATTTCAATATAATTAGCTGTACTGAACTATGTACATATTGTATAATTCACTTAAGTAAAAATCTTATCCGAACGATTCCAAAAATAAAAAATATCTATAATTTGATAATGAATTGATAAAATTTAATGATGTGATAAGATAAATAACTGGATAGGTGATTATTTTTAAAATTCAATATTAATTTTTTTGTATTGTTTTAACTAAATACAATTTTTGCAATTTTTAAGTTTGAAAAAACAAGTTCTTCCTTTCTAAATATCTTTAGATACCCAAAAAGACATAATTTTACACAGAATTTCCTTATTAAGAACCGGCAAATGATTCAAATTTTGCGTATATGCACAGATATTAACTTACGTCATTAAACTAAGCACATATTTATCGTTATTTTAATTAATATTAACTGAATACAATTTATTTCACGGTTGAATTTTAATATTTCCAAATTAAGAAATCAAGAAACTTTGTATGCATTGAATATGGTGTGTATTAATTTTTAATATTTATATCAGGTATGTTACCTTTATGCTTTTAATAAAAGTTAATATACGATAGTTGAATTAAAAATTAAATTGTCACCTACTTACATAAGTATTAGTTTTTTTTTTGTGAAAATATTAATTAATCAGTTTAAGAATTCAATATTGGTTTTTAAATTCTTTTAAGTACTTTACTATTATTTAATATAAAAAATTTTTGTAAAAATATTTGCCGAACGGAAGAAAGGTTCACAGGTATCTAGGTGATTGTAGGTAAGGCCCTACCTACTTCATTTTCAAAAATAAATAGACAGGTAGGTGCCTACTTAATTGTAATATTAGAAGAATTTTCAGTTCGATATTATTAGATTGGAATTTTTAATACTTTAGTTGTCCAGATTATTAAATTCAGCATTATTATAAGATTTAAAAATCTACATAATAAGAATCCTGTAAATAATTTATTTATGTTGGGTTTAAAAGAAGGAATGTGAATTTTATATAAGTATTGCATTTCCTTCATTTATTCAATTAGATATTGAATCAGTTTGATTTCCTTAATTTTTCGAAAAAAGCTTATTTTATTGAATTGGATTAATAATTAATTAGATGTTTAATATTTCCAATTAAATTCAACTTATTCACTAATATTACGTAATAGTTTGGTTTAAGCATTTGATATTTTCGTTAAATGAAAATATTTAAGAAATTTATTTTTAAGTTCACGATTAATGATCATAATCTGCTTTTTATATTTAATGAGTCACCGGTGACATCAATATTATTTTCAAATAAATTTCAATTGGTTTAAGCTGATTTGTTTATTGAACTTGAAAATATTATTAAGTAAGTAAGAAGGTAAATGGTACTAGTACGTAATTATACTTAGATATCTGGTTAATTAGTGGTACTAGTACGTAATTATAATAGATATCTGAATGTCTCAACCGGTATTACAAAATCTAAAAAGGTGCGTTCTTTAATTATAATTTGAATTAGTAAAGCAGGAAATGTGTATTAAATCTTTAATTTGAAACTGAAATGTGTATTAAATCTCAGTTATAAATTAACATGTTCATAATTTCTACTTCTGAGGCAGTTTAGTGTTTTTCTCTTTGAGAGTATTGCCATAAATTATTTCATGGTATTTAATATAATACAAGTATGGATTCGATATTCAATAAATTTTTGCAAATTTTATATTTTTAGGTTCCTGTTTAAGTATACCACTATAAATTGTTTTGCAATAGTTATGTTATACTTGCAAAAATATTAGTTCTATAGGAAGTTTTGTATATTTATATTAAGTAGGTACCTCAATTTTTTCATTTACTACTTATTCTTTATGAAAGACGGAAATTAATAACAAAAATAAATAGAAATAGCTAAAAAATTTTTTATGCTTATATACTTAAGTATATTAGAAAGTGTGTACATAACAATAAGTATAAAAAGCATTTGCTTTAAACTGACTTATATAGTATTTTTGCCGCCCAACTGTTAACTTTCTTTGCCATTTTTGAATTGATTTTCTTCTTTTCTTTAGTTTTTTTTTTGTATTTTCAAAAACGAATTATTGAAAGTAGGTAGGTAGGTATATGTATTGTTTTTTGTTCTATTTAAACTTTGCTTAAATACAGAAAAACATATTTACTTAATTTTGTTAGGAAGTATAGGTATTTAACAACAGAACTGTATATTTGTTGGGTTTTGATACGTAAATGGTTATACACACCTGGTTACAGTTCAGTTTTTATATTTAAAAAAAAACTTAATTATTACAAGTTAAGTACATAAATACAAACTATCAATTTTTATAATACCAAATGAAATATACTCAATTCAAAATGTTAATTTTTCAGGTGAATGAATGAAGAATTATTGATTTTAGATCTTCTTATCTTAGGTTATTCACTTAGTTATGCATATTTAAGATTAATCATAGGTACTTAAATAGGTGTCTACAACTTTTGAGGATAAAAAAATATTTGCTTAAAAAAGCAACTATACGTTAAGTAGGTACTTTTAGAATTTGTTTAAGATTAGATTACAACAAGAATAAGGAATTGTAATTTTTAAAATTTATTGCTTGAGTATCGTATTTATTGAAGAATTAATTAATTTTAGTGGTAGTTACTTTACTTAGATATATTAATTATGTAAGAATTAACACAGTTCAAGTAAGAAACTAAACAAATAATTTTAAAATAAGAACTTTATTAAATTAGATAAAGTAAAATTAAATTATGTAAAATGTTTACTGCGCTTAATAAGTAGTTAGTTGCTTGCCGACATGCATTTGATATTGATTAACAATATTAATTTAGGATTCTCCTTTCCCATAATATATTTTTCAAGACACTGAGTATATAGGTCTGTCGTATGATCTGGAGTATTGCTGTATTCAAACTTAGGTTGTAAACTTGTAATCAAGTTTGAGAGGGTTACTATGAATTTTATTATTCTTTATTAGTTATTTTTTTTTTTATAAATCATTTAATTAGACATTTTTATTTATCATTTGTAGACTGAATAGTGTTGGCGCCGATTCTATCCATTGTCTTGAATGTTTTTATTCCTTTTTCTTTTTTCATTCACTATGTGTTTTCCTTGTTTTTTTTTTTTTTTTGTTTTGCTTTAGCAAACTGATTGTTTATTCAATTTCTGTCACTTGGTTACTTATTATACTTATATTTTTCATTTCTTTTTGTTTTTATTTACATACTTGTTCGTTAATTTTAATCATACATCATAGTTCTTGTCAGCAAGACCAACTTTTCTTGCTAAAGCAAGAAAATTAAAAATTTATAATTGAAATTGTTAGTTTTTATCGTGATTTTTTGTTCTTTAATGGAATATATTTAATTTTAAAAAATTTTAATTAAAAATTATAATTATATTAAAATTTTTTGTTCTTATTAAAATATTAAAGGTGTTAAATAATGGGGAAACTTTTGGCTCGATTTCAATGTAATTGATTAAATTTCTTATCATATTCAAATATTTACTTTTTTCCTAATGCATTTTGTCTATACTTATTCAGATTTCAGAATTACAATGTTAAATCTTACTTAAACTTCTTTGAGTCTTAGTTTGATTTTATGTGCCATAGCTATGATTATGTAGACACTTATGTATAAGCTCTTAAGTTACAATTTTACGCCACAAATTTACATTTTCGACGCCTTTAGACTCATTTAGCGGGCTTATTACACGAAATACAGAATTAATACAGAAATATAAAAAAAAAAACATTTTTGTTATTTTTCTGTTTCTTTTGTTACTTTAATTTGTTGTTATTGCTCTTTTGACTTTTTCTAAGAATGACACATTCTTAAGCTATTTTTAAAACAGTGAATTTATATTTTCTTCTGCATACTTACATGTTTGTATACATATGTTTGTATGTTACATATGCATGCATGTAATGTAAAGAAAAATAAACAGAAACTTATAGCTTATTTTCTTATTATATAAATTTTTATGTAAATAAGTACAAATGTATGTATGTATTTCTGTTTTAATATCATTAGCGAGTAAAAAAGAAAAGTAACCACAACAAAACACGTGTTTCTTACAAAATCTTTCTGTATCGTATTTTTCATTTAAGTTTAGGTGTTTCCCCTGATATTTTTTTTGTAAGTATCTATTGAAATGCTTTGTATCCAATTGCTGTTCCAAGTTCCCATGTGCAAGTTTAATAAATTAAGTTTCTATAATTTCTATAATTCTAATTTTTATTCACATTTTTATTATTAATGGAACTTGTTTGAGCTTTCAACAAGTTGTAATTTTTTTTTATGTTGAGAGAAACTCTTAAATTATTAATTACCATAAAAGTTTTTCTTTACGAAAACTTCTTTGCAAGGTCAACTCAAATTAGTAGTCAATATTTAAAGGGAGGTAGGTAATAAGTCTTAACCAGCGCACAGATACTAAATCATTAGTTAACATTTGAGTACTTAATTAAATATTTTTTAATTACCTATTTGCTTGCATATTTTATTTGGATCGATATATGTTCGATAAGATGGTCAATTCCTGAATAAAATGCAAATTCTAAACAGTTTTACTTTTACTTATTAACTAGTCCTATTTATTATGGCAGAATATTTTCCAAATATTTATAAGAAATAATTCAGTATTTAATATTTCAGTACTTTTAAATGTTCTTTATGCGTTACTTAATTCAATACAATTTTAATTGTGGCTAATATTTAGTTTAGTAAAAATTCAACTCTTGACTAATAGTTCTGTGTGTATACTAAGTACTTATGTAGATACCGTACACATTTAAAAACCAAACATGTAATTTTTTTTTAATGAATAATGTTTTCAATATTAATTAACATCTAGAAATCTATGAATGCAATTTATTCAAAATGTAGAAAAATATTTATTTAGTTTGTTACTCACTTTTTATGTTTTCTTATGTTCAGTTAGTCTTTAAACCCACATAGCTAACCACTAGTTAAGTAAGTATATAGGTACTATATATACTTTTCTGACCATTTCTTATATTTATAAGCAAAGAATAACAAATTTATTCTTAGAATTTGCAAATAAGTAGCCACATATAAATAATTTCAATTATTTTTGTATAATTATAAAATGTTGCAACATTTTGTTTTTGCTTTTTCATTAACCTGTATGTCTACATTCCAAAGTGATTAATAATAATTAGCAACATTATCACGAATGTTAGTTTAGGTAGTAAATAATATAAAAAATAAATTCCTTTTTAAATTGAAAAAAGAGTACTTACTTTTAGATTAATTTTTTATATTACGAGTAGTGCTTCAATAAATCTGCAAATTTAAAACATTAAGTGAGTAAAGGACCTGTTCGTTCTCTTTAGTTAGAGTAAAATAAAAAATACTGTTTGACTAAACAACAAAGAAGAAGATTGCAGATTAGGGTGATGAGGTACTGCAAGTACCCATTGCCTTGCCTAAAGCACCCCCTCGGGATCCAGATTTCTAATGAATCCGAGAAATTTTTTCGGCGAAATATCACACAATGAACTGCCCACCAGCGAGGGTCTACCCAAAGTGTCCCTAAAAAAGAAGAAAATAAAACAAGACCTTAATTAATAGACTTGCGACTTGCTTTTTACGTTAAATGAACGTGAGAAATTATGAATATGAGAAATTTTAATCAGGATTTTTGCTTGCAAAATAAAATTCAAAATTTTTATTAAACTTATTTTAAAAATTCATAATTAATTTCTCTATTTTTTTTTTATTATTTTATTTCAGGTTAACAGAGTTGTAATGCGTATTTCAGCTACTGATCTTGATGATGGAAATAATAGTGTAGTTGAATATGAAATATTACCTGGTCGTGATTATCAATATTTTCGTATTGATAAAGCACATGGTATCATATATTTAAATCGCCCTATAGATAAAAGACCTGGTCAATCATATTATATCAATGTTCGAGCATATAATATTGTACCAGACCCACAACAAGATGCTGATACTGAAGTCAAAATTACAGTTATCGAATCATCTAAGAAACCACCAAGATTTATTGATGCACCAGAACAACCAATTTATTTAAAAGAAAATTTTACTGATTATGGTTATAATATAACAACATTAAGAGCAATATCAAATGTACCTGATCAACCTGAAGTAATATTTGAATTAATAACAGGTCGAACCGAACAAACAAATAGCAAAAAAACGTTTGTATTAAATCAACATGGTGATACTGTAACAATTAATTTAGGTAAATCATTAGATTATGAAGCTATAACAGAATATACATTAACAGTTAGTGTCAGGAATATTTGGGATTTAGTTGCAGAACATTTAATTAAAATTAAAATAGAAGATGTCAATGATAATATACCATTCTTTACTGAAGTTAAAATTGGTACGATATCTGAAAATGAACCAGCTGGTACAGCTGTAATGCAAGTTCGTGCATTTGATATGGATGGAACTTCAGCAAATAATATTGTATCATTTGAATTAGCTGATAATAAAGATTATTTTACAATTGATTCACATACTGGTAATATTACAGCGTTAACAACATTTGATAGAGAAGAACGAGATTTTTATAATGTTAAGGTAATTGCAAGTGATAATTCTGCATCTTCATTATTTAATAATGGTGAACCAAATCGTGGTCAACAAGTATTTCGCATTGAAATAGCTGATAAAAACGATCACAAACCACACTTTCAACGTGATGAATATATTGCAGACAAATTACCAGAAGATGCAAATATCAATCATGAAGTAATTGAAGTAAGTGCTGTGGATTTAGATAATGCTGCACAAATATTTTATACTATTGAATCGGGTAATATCGATGATGCATTCAAAATAGAAAAGTTAACTGGAAAAATTTCTGTTAATCGTCAACTGGATTATGAAAAAATTACTGAATATACTTTAAAAATTCGTGCTTTTGATGGAATATATGACGATTATGCTACCGTTACAATTAAACTTGAAAACGTTAATGATAACCCACCTGTATTTTTACAAAAATATAATATAACTTTACAAGAAGAAACTGTACTAGGTGATTGTATTTTAATAATTCAAGCTTATGATCCAGATATTAAAGATCGTAATGCTGATCAAGGCATAAAATATTCAATTGTTAAACCGGATCAAAGAAAATTTTTATCAATTGACGATTCAGGTTGTTTAAAATTAATACAACCATTAGATCGTGATTTACCAAATGGTTTTAAATATTGGCAAATTTGGTTAAGAGCAACTGATGATAATGGTAGCATTAATGGTAAACAATCTGTTGAGGATATTACGATTACTTTAATCGATATTAATGACAATGCACCACATTTGTCATTAAGAATGCCAGTAATATGGCAAGAAAATCGTCGACCAGGTCAAATAATACAGTTGCAAGCAATTGATTATGATGAACAACAGAATGGACCGCCATTTACTTACGGCATTGATACAGATGCTGATCAAGATATCAAAGATAAATTTTCTATTGATAGTGATTATTTGTATGCAAATGTAATATTTGATCGTGAGCAACAAAAAGAATATTTCATTCCGATAAGAATTTTCGATTCGGGTCAGCCGCGTCAAAGTGATGTTAGTATTTTACATTTAATAATTGGTGATGTAAATGATAATGCTATGGAATCTGGTTCAAGTCGCATATTTGTTTACAATTTTAACGGTGATGCTCCTGACACAGAAATTGGACGTGTATTTGTTGATGACAAAGATGATTGGGATTTAGGTGATAAAATGTTCACTTGGAAATATGGTATGCCGCATGAACGGTTTCAACTTAATGAAAATACTGGCATGATTACAATGACAGAAAAAACTCCAGCTGGAGAATATACTTTAACATTTGCTGTTACTGAAGAATCAGATATAATTGAAAGACATCAAGTTGATGCAGATGTAACGGTAATTGTAAAGATAATACCTGAAGAAGCTGTCGATAAAAGTGGTTCAGTGCGTTTATATAATATAACAGCCGAAGATTTCATTAAAGTTCCACGTAATGATCCAACAGCCTTAAGTTTAAAAGATCGTTTCCAAAATAGTCTTGCTAGGATGTTTAATATATCGACTAATAATGTAGATGTATTTACAGTTTTAGCTTATAATGCATCAACATTAGATGTAAGATTCTCAGCTCACGGAAGTCCATATTATGAAATGGAAAAATTAAATGGTATGGTTGCACAAGCACGGCAAGATTTCGAAGAAGATTTAGGTGTACAAATTCTAATGGTTAATATTGATGAATGTTTAATTGAGAAACAAACATGTGAAAGTTCGTGTAAAACTATATTACATAAGTCATCTGTACCATTATTGGTTTATTCAAATACAACATCATTTGTGGGAGTGAATGCTTACACCAAAGCTGAATGTGTTTGTGAATCTGATGTGAAACATTATTGTTTAAATGGTGGGATACATCATGATGAAGGCTGTCAATGTCCAGAAGGTTTTAATGGTCCAAATTGTGAACTAACTGCTATCGGATTCTATGGTATCGGTTATGCGATGTACCCTCCAATATCACCATGTGATAATACAAAAATTTATATGGAATTAGAACCACAAACCGATACTGGTTTGGTTATGTATTTTGGTCCAATGAATTATAATCCTTTATTACCAATATCAGACTTTTTAGCTTTAGAATTGATTAATGGTTATCCAGTTCTTACAGTTGATTATGGTACAGGGGCGGTAAAAATTGAACATAAACATATAAAATTAAGTTCTGGTCAAAATTATGAAATTGAAATTTTATTACAAAGAGCTAGTGTAGAAATGACTGTTGCCAATTGTAAATTATCAACTTGTATGAGCTTGGGAGCACCACAGGGACCAAATGAATTTTTAAATGTAAATGCACCCCTTCAGTTGGGTGGTACACCTGTTGATTTAAAACGTTTAGGAAGACAATTAAATTGGACTCATATACCTGAAACGATTGGCTATCATGGATGTATTAAAAATTTAACGGTTGATGGTGTAACATATAATATTGGTTCACCGGCTTTATATTATAAAGTTGATCCTGGTTGCCAAAATGCTATTGCGGTAGCTGTATCATTTGGAATTGATCGTAACTTTTTAATTGCAATATTAGTTTGTATTGCTGTTCTATTAATATTATTATTAGCTGTTGTAGTACAAAAACGTCAGCAAAATGGTTGGCATGAAAAAGATATGGATGATATTAGAGAAACAATTATTAATTATGAAGATGAAGGTGGCGGTGAACGTGACACCGAATATGATTTAAATGTTTTAAGATCTCAACCATATTATGAAGACAAACCATATAAAGAAAGTATGCATCCAGCACATCATATGAAAGATCCAAATGAGGTGCCAGATATCGGTGGTTTCTTAGTTGATAAAAAAGATAGTTGTGATCGTGACTCAGGTGCATATCCTATAGATGATGTTAGACATTATGCATATGAAGGTGATGGTAATAGTGATGGTAGTTTATCTAGTTTAGCATCATGTACAGATGAAGGTGATTTGAATTTTGATTATTTATCAAATTTTGGACCACGTTTTAGAAAATTAGCTGATATGTATGGTGAAGAACCATCAGATACAGATTCAAATGTAGATGATGATCAGGGATGGAGAATATGAACTAATTTAAATTAAATTTAGAATAAAATAATTTAAAAAAAGAAGAAAAGAAAATAATTACGAAAAAATATTATGGTTTTAATTGAAAATTCACAGTGTGTAATGAGAACTAAAAACATCTGTTTAGATAAAGGAGAAAACGATCGAAATTATTTTTTTCATAAAACCAGAAGAGATTTATAAATAATTAGCGTTCACATGTGATTGCATAATTTTTATTTTTCCAATGTCGAAAGCATTTAAAGCAGGATCAATTTATTTGCATTTTTTTCTATTTGGAATGTGAAATTTTAATAACATTAAGAATAACCAAAGACTTGTAAGTAAAAATTTTTTATGAAAAGTATTGTAATTAATTTTACTTAATAAGTACATATATACGTTAGTTAAATATAAGTAGGTACTCATAACTTATATTGCTATTACTGTATATTGCTATCATTGACGAGTAATTAGTAGCTATTTTGAAATTTCAAGTTTGATAAAGTATTGTTCACTGCGCAAACACTTACGTTGATTATTACAAATTTGTATTTTTTTATACTTTTAATTTTTTCAATTTCATAAGCTTAAACCATTTGAAAGTAACACAGCTGGATATTAAAATTTTTTTAATAGTTCTGAGTAGTACAAATACTTATATTCAATATATGTAAAAGTACTTATCAAGTAGCAAATTTGTAGCAAAATGCAACAGCTCTACTTTTGTAGAAAATTTGAAATTCATTAAGTATTTCGCAGATTTTCGTTATTAACCCAAATTTTAAACGAAATCTTAAGACATTAAATAACTACATAAATAATTCTAAAATATAAAACAAAATCAATTAGGAACTTTAAAATTGCAAAATTTCCTTAAAAAATGCTCTTAATTTTTAAGTTCGATTTTTATTTGTAGATTTTTTTTTTCAATATTTGCTTTAAAGTTCCTATACATAACATCAGCCATCATTTATAATCTTAATTAATCGTTTTCCAAATAAAATCTATTATTACTCTTATCTTCGCTTAATTACCTTTTGACCCACTAACCAACTTATTCACTGAAAAAAAAAGTAATTAAGTAGTTATTCACACAGCTCTCTTTGCTTTTATTTTAAAAGAACGTCGCGATATTCAAGTATGTATCTAAAATTACGTCATGTACATCAACACGTGATATAATAAAATGATTTTAGTTGCTTACATATTGAAATATAAAATATTGTAAATATTTGATGCCGTTGTCTATAAATAAATTTTCTCTTATTCAACATTTTAATGATAATATCAAAATAATTGGGTGACTTAAATTGATAAGTAATCAAAAATAAATAATAATAATTGAAATGACTAAGTTGTTAAAAGGGGAATCACTATTTTTTATAATTTTTATTAAATGCCTAACAGAAGTACATACTTGAGTATTTGTATTAAAATCTCAGTAAAGTAGAGGCTTTGAAATATATATGCGCTTGAAATAAACAATTGTAAGTCCTAATTGCTATTAACTTCTTAGTTACTTATAACTAAAGTTTTAGTTATAACTTTAGTAAGAAAGAAATGTACTTATTCTTGACAAACTTGATTTTTCGAATTTTTAATACAAATTAAATACTCAAATGAAATATTCTTTAAAGGCAGAGAAATACTTTAAAATATTAAAACTCTGTATTCAATTAAATTTTGGTTTAATGATTATTTAAAAAATAAAATATACTATGAAAATTCATAATAAAACAGCATCCAAAAAGTATCCAACAGTGTAGTTTATGAGTTCAATAACATTTTCTTAATAATTTTTTTTTTTTAAGTTTTAATTTATTTTTCTGAAAAATTCAAGACAAGATCAGTTTTCCATTGTAGTTGGATAATTTTAAGTGTACAAAATGGTAAAAATGTAAGGTATATTAATTTTTTGCTTTTTGATTTTTGATTAATATGCTTTCGTTATGTATCACTTACTTAATTGATTTTATCTTATGACTAATTGCAAACCTGATTGAAACCATTGAACAAAGTCAAAAAAAAAATACTTTTATATGCTTACTTTATTACATGTTGATTGTGATTTACGTTTTTAGTTACTTATATATTATGATTGTAGTGCTAATTCAAAAAGTTTCTAGACTGTAAAGATTTAGTGCTTAATCGAATTCCTAAACGTATTTATTGTAAGCCAATTAATGTGGAAAAATGCGGAAAAACTGCTATTATTTTACCATGTAACTATTATGTTTATATTAATTTTCATTTAATTAAAATTTTAAAAATTTCATAATTAATTCAATAAAAAGAAAGAGATTAAAAAATATTTCTATTAAAATGAAAATATGAAATTAATCTTTGTATGCATTTTAAATTAAAGTAATTATTATTTTCACAAAAAAAAAATTATTTAAAACTAATTTAACTATGGAAATTTACTTGTATGCTAATAAAATTGCTTATGTACAATTTATTACTTACTTTTATTTTACTTAACATGATTGCTACGCAACGTTTATTATGTCATCAATTAGATATGTACAAATTTTATAAAATTATACAACTTATTGCTGGCTATAAAATACATATATAAATAAACCACCGATTCACAAATTTTATTTACTTTTCCATAAAATCTAATTATAAAATGCAAATTTTATTAAAATTATACACTTACTTACTCTCACATTTAATATTTGTACAGAAAGTTTAAATTCATTTCGATCATATACATTCATTATGTATTAAGTATTATACTTTGATATTATTGTAGTGAAATTTGAGAAGAAAGAAAATTTTGGGCAATTAAAATGCTCACAATAAAGCAATTGTAATTCAAATTTCAATTGAAATTTTAAATATCACTTACCTATGATTATAATATGAGTTATTTAATTAAAATCAAGCTCATAGACAAATGTAACTTAAAAACGTGTTAAAGAAGGCGGCGTTTTGCGAGAGATACCTGTACAGCAAATAAATTTCCGAATTTTTTTATTAGTTTTAAAAATTGATTCAATATTTGTTTTTAGTATGCATATCCGCGATTTGTTAGTTACTTATATTTATTGAAAGTTTTAAGTAATTTAAATAAGAGTGCTTAATTGTAATTCTCTTTAGTTTGCTTGGCTCAATTTATGCATTAGTAACTTTATGCATATTGCTTTTTATTAATTCATTTTAACTTTTTAATTATTCTTATCAAATAAAATATTCATTAAAATTACATTGTATCGTATTTTAAATTTGTATTAGTTACTGTAATATTATATTTATATATAATATTAATTATTATTAATAATATAATTATTTTTCTTTTTTTTTCTCTTTCGCAGATTATTAATCAATTTGATCAATTTCCTGGAAAAAAATTGCAAATATATTCAACAATGGTCATATGCTTACACTAAATATAAAAAAATATGTAGTATAATTAAATAAGTTTTAAAAAAAATTTAGTGATTTAGTAAATAGTAAAAATTATTTCTCCTCAAATGTAAAATATGTATGTGTATGTACACTGTAAGAGCGAACTAGTATTTAATATCAACATCAATTATTAATATATTAGAAAACTACATATTTTTTAATCAATTAAGTAATTTATTTGAATACGACAAAATAAAATCATAATATTGTGTATTATATAAAATACTATTATATTATATAAGTAAATTTTTATGAGTAAATTAATTTTTACTTATACAATAATTTCGAGAACACAAAATAAAAAACTAGCCAAATCTTTAATTTTTTTTAAATTAAAGATTTTTATTTTATTTTTTTTTTCTTTTTAAAGACTAATAATATTTGTTTATATTAAACAAATAAATAATTATAAAATATATAAATAAATAGAAAATTTAAAAAATTATATAATGAATATTAAGTTTATTTAAATGCATATAATGTACACACGTATATGTACATATTAAATATACATTTTATATAAGTTATAGAAATTTTTAATATTATATAATAAGTAAATATATGTATAAGTGTACATACTTATATGTATAAATTCATTTTAAATTTATTAATGAATTAGTTTTTTCTTTTTTTTTTTGTTCTTAAGTAATGAAATATGTATGTATTTAGGAAAATTATAAAACATTCCTAATTGATATTCTAAAATAAAGATTATATATTCAATACTTAAATGATTGAAAATTATTGGAAATTGAATTTATTTTTAATAAAAAACTTTTATCTTCTTTTTTTTTTAATTTATACTTTGCATTTAATTTTTTATCCAATAAAATGAATTTCAAATTTGATTCTTTATTAATAAACATTAGCGATTTTTTACAATTTTTAAAATTTTTTAAATTTATTATGCGACTACAATGCATTTAAAAATATAATAAATTCAGAACTGGTTTGATTTAAAAAAAAAATTATTATGTATATTGCATTTCCCTTTATTACATATAATATGTATAATGCATTTATGTATGTATTTATCAATTCCAATTACATTTTTAATTGAATAACAAAATGAATTTAATATTTTGTTTTGTTTGCTGCAATACTGACATGAAACTCAACATTTTGCACTTTCTAAAACAATCAAATTTTAAATTTTTGGAGTTCATATCTTTTTCTTGTTATAGAAATAAGATATTTATTGTAATCGACAATTTCGAGCTAGAGATATGGCGGTTTTGCATAAAAAAAAATTTTTCAAATTTTTTAAAAAGCTACATAAAGGGATACAATTTGGGCTCAGCAATCGTATTTTTGTGAATTATATCATTGTTGCAACAAATGTGCTAATTGAATTGCATTTTTTTCATCTTTATAATTAAAATTGTAAGAAGAGAAAAAGATCTTTTTTAAGTATTGAATTTAAGTAAAAAAATAAAAGCAAGAAACTTAAGTATTAAAAGTATTTAAGCATTTTAAATTTTATATAATTTTTTTTTTTTTTAAATAGAGTACATATATTATATTATTCTAAGATTAGAAAACGAAAAAAAAATAAAAATTCAATAAAAAAATTATAAAAACATAAAAAAATTATAAAAAATTATACATTTTTATTATTAGTAAGGGTTTTTTTTTTTAAGTATTTAATATGAAAATAAATAATTGAATTATGTTTAATATGTTTAATTTTAATAAATACTTACTAAGAGAAAACAAAAATATAAAATAATAAAATAACAAAAAAAATCACATTATATGTATTAAAAAAAATAAATGAGAAAATTTGTATATTCTTTTTATATAAAATTAAGAAATAAATTTCTGTATAAAAAATTACTATAGAAATGATTGTATAGAGAGAGTTATTGTAGTAGTAAAAATGCAATTAAAATGTAAAAAATATTCTTCCACAAAATTATTAATTAAGAAAAATTTCAATTACATTTTTTTTTTTGAATATCCAAAAGTCTTCTTTTATTTTTTCTTTTTTTAATAAATCCACAATTTTATTGTTATAGAATCTAATTAATGTTATAATTAAAATCTACAAATGTAATAGGCAATGTGGCACTAACTTTACTTTTTAGTAGCTTTATATATACATTTATAATTCTGGGTTACGTGCCAAATAAAGTTTTAAAATCGCCAAAAAATTATGTGTTCAAAATCAAAAAAAAAAAAAAAAAACTAGTATATAACTTTAATTTTTCAATATCAAAAATAAAATTTTCAAGAAATTTTATACGAATACAATGTAGATTTTATTTACTTACATTTGAAAATTTAAAAACATTCGACGCACGCTATACAATTTTAATTCTATTCAATGCGTTACTGCAGACTGAATATTGTCATTGGTTCATTAAAAATTTTAAACAAATTCATAAACTAGAATAAATACATATGTAATAAAATAAGAATATAAAATTTCAAATTTTTAAATATATAGGTGATTGATTAAATTAATAAATTAATGATATTGAAATTCATAAGTATGTAGAGCACTTTTAAAAAAATTTTTTGATAAAATTTAAAAAAAAAAATTATTGTGGGAATTTTTTTTTTTTCAATTGCGTTTTTTCATACTCACATAAAAAATTATTTATAAGTAATGAAAAAAATTTTGAATTTAAAACAAAAAAGTTTTCATTTAAGTATGTAAATAAATTATCACAAAAAATTCTAATTCCAAAAGTCATCTCAAACATTAAAAAAAAAGGAAAAATTAATATGAAAAATTAAAATAAAAAAATAAAATTAATCAAAAGTTTAATTTAGATTAACTAATTAAATGTAAAGAATATTTTAATTTATAGGTATGTTTAATTTAATTATTATTTTCGTTTTTTAGATATGCTTTTTTTTTATTAAACTTAAAGCTTATAGATTTTAATAATGAAATATTTAAACATTTTTATATTTAAAAATGTTAAAAATATAAATGATAAATTTACATTTTTATATTTAAATTTGTAAATAAAATTTTTAAAAAAAGTATTTTTATAAGAAAAAGATATTTATGTTTTTATTGTAAATTAAAAAAATATATATAATTTTTTGTCCATTCTTTTTACCATAATTAGAGAATTATGTGATTTGGAAATTTATGAATCAACTGCATTTTGCAATTTAATAGTAATGAAAGTTTAAATAAACTGGGAGATTACATGAGCTGTTAAGAACTGAAAATTGAACTTGGGAAATGGTATTCTATAGGGGACCTTATATTTTGTATAATATGTGAAAATTTAAAAATTATTAAAGCACTTTTTCAGTTTCGCAACTCTGTTGTCATTTTATAATTTTTAATTTTTTGTATTATGGAAACAACTACTGGAAAGAATGGGATTTTTGATTTAGAATTTTGAGAAATCATATGAACATTTTTTTTTTAATTTCCTTAAGTACATGCAAATTCGCCTTTGTGTGCGCCTTCAAAATGGGTTCCTTAAAATCTTTTGGCATGATATGGTATAAAAAGTAATCAATTAAACTTCCAAGACAATTTTAAAAAGTAAGTATAAAGAGTTCAAGACTTCTGTTCTAATATTTTTAATTTATTATATTGATAGACATTTACTTTATTGTTCGAACAAAATAAGTTACATGTAGTTTAAATTTTGTTATTAAAATTAGCAAAATTATCGTATACATATTCAAAATATCAACAAATTTTTAATCTATAATAATAAAAAAATTATGTAATAACAATTTGCTTATATAATTTATACGAGTAAATTATTAAAAGGTCAGGAATTTTTATTACTTTGTACATATTACTTATATTTTGTTTTTTATATGAGTAAGGCAAAAAAAGATGTAATAATAGCTAAGTAGTAAATATTCAACTATAAAGATAATAATTAAGAGATGTTGAAAGGAAAAATGAAAATAGAAAAAAAAATTATTTCATGTTTTTCAAATTAAGTTCAAGGTTACTGGGCTTATACAATTTAAATTGTGATATTCTTGGACTCAATTGCTTTTAATTGTTTTAAATGTTTAATTTCTATTATATCAGATGTAAATGTGCGAGTATTCACTATTACACAATCTAGTTGTACAATTACTATTACTATTAAGTAGTATATACGTATAAATTTTTATATTCAGTTTTTTGTTTACATATTTATGAATGTATCAAATTTAATTAAAATTGTCTTCATATTTTCGATCTTATTTTCAATTCATTCATGTAATTATTAATGAAGTATTAATAATTCAAAAAGGAAATTAAAAAGAAAAAAAAATTATAATTTAGTCATTAAATATTTAATTACACAAAAAAAAAAATTTATAAGCTATTAAATATCTTGGGATTAGGTAAAATTAGCTGTGATGATAGCAAACTTTTAATAATTTTAATAGGGAATTTTAGCTGTAATAATAGTAAACTGTCTTATTGAATTTTCAATAATTATAGCCATAATAAAATAATTATGAAAACGGAGCTAGTTATAACTGTAATAAATAAGAATAATCTGTTATAAAATATATACATAAATTGTAATAACTTGTTTTGGTCTTGTTTTCTCTCAAGTTATAACAATAAGTAGCGCCTTGAAATATTGAAAATAAAGGTACATACAATGATTTAAGTAGACAAAAAGCAATATTGAATGATTTTTAGTCTTTTATGCATGGCATATAACAATTATTAAATAAAGGAAATTCATGCTATACATTTATTTTAATTAACTAGATAAATTTTATTTTTAAAAAATTGAAAAATGTTAGCGTCTATAAGTCTACTTTATTAAGTGAAAAGTACCTAATTAAGTCAACGTGATTTCTTTTTATTTTTCTTTTATTATAAAATTACAAAAGTGAAAAAAAATTAACTAATATAGTATCATTTAACTTTCTTTTATAATTTTTCTTAACTGTTAACTAAATAGTTAGTTAAATGACATTATAGTATTTTAAAAGAAAACCTTTTTCTTATAATGTTATAGTAATGTGTGGATAGTTAGATAGATGATATTATTATT